GGCCACCCTGCCTTGGGGAATCGGCCAGGATGATTAAAAAAAAAAAAAAAAATAATATTGTTGGACCGTGTAAGGGTCTAGAAAGTTGAATAAACAGGGTTTGTAATCGGTTATTTCTCAAAGGTTGATGAGCGTGTTATTAATAAAATGTTCATTTCAATACTGCACCTGCTGCTTGTGAAGTAACATGAAGGCAGCCGACGATTGTATCTGGAGAGGATCTGCTGATTTATTGGGATGAGAGTTCAGTAGGGTAACACCCCCAGCGGTGGCCGGTCTGGTGATTCTCAGGCACCCTCCTTAGGTCAGGTGGTCCAGGTGCGACCCAACCAGCGACAAACCCAAGGTACCCATTTTTACTGATGGGGAACATATGACAACAGGTGGAAGAAACACGTCAATGTTTCTAATCTGATGGGAAATCGATCCCATTCCTACTGCCGTGTGAGCGAGCCGTTTAACCACGAGGCCACCAGAGCCCCTTAGGCAAAACTTTTCAAAAATAAAAACAACCTACTGTTACACATGTCTCTTAATCATCATCACTGGCAGAGCATGAAATGTCATGTTAAACCCTGAACTGTCAACCGCAGTTGCACTATATCCTAAACCATACTACAGTGAACACCCTGCGAATTCGCGGCTTCAGTAATTTGCAGATTTTCTCTAGAGCCTCGCTAATAATTGTTTGCAAAAATCCCTGCAAATTCACAATTTTTTTTTTTTGCATTTTTCCTGGCAATATATAATTTTCTATGCATTTTAATGCTAAAGATTAAGAAAAATTTAATTTAATAATTTTCTAACAATTTTTTTTTCAACGAGTTGGCCGTCTCCCACCAACGCAGCGTGACCCAAAAAGAAAGAAAATCCCCAAAAAGAACTTTCATCATCAGCATACAATGCCTGCACTGTAAAGGAGGGGTTAGGGATATTAGCAGTTTGGAGGGATATGTTGTGTATCTTTATATGTATATGCTTCTAAACTGTTGTGTTCTGAGCACTTCTGTAAAAACAGTGATTAAGTGTGAATGAGGTGAAAGTGTTGAATGATGATGAAAGTATTTTCTTTGTGGGGATTTTCTTTCTTTTTGGGTAACCCTGCCTCGGTGGGAGATGGACAACTTGTTAATAAAAAAAAAAATCATTCAACACTTTCAACTCACTCACACATAATCACTGTCTTTGCAGAGGCACCCAGATACAACAGTTTAGAAGCATACATAAAGATATATAACATACCCTTCCAAACTGCCACTATCCCAAACCCCTCTTTAAAGTGCAGGCATTGTACTTCCCATATCCAGTACTCAAGTCTGGCTATATAAAAATAACTGGTTTCCCTCAATCCCCTTCACTAAATATTACCCTGCTCACACTCCAACAGCTCGTCAAGTCCCAAAAACCATATGTCTCCATTCACTCCTATTTAACACATTCACACATGCTTGCTGGAAGTCCAAGCCCCTCGCCCACAAACCTCCTTCACCCACTCCCTCCAACTTCTTCGAGGACGACCCCTACCCCACCTTCCTTCCCCTACAGATATATACGCTCTCCAAGTCATTCTACTTCGATTCATTCTCTCTAAATGACCAAACCACCTCAACAACCCCTCTTCAGTGTTCTGAGTAATACTTTTAGTAACTCCATGCCTCCTTCTAATTTCCACACTCTGAATTCTCTGCATAATATTTACACCACACATTGCCCTTAGACAGGACATCTCCACTGTCTCCAACCGCCTCCTCGCTGCAACATTTACAACCCAAGTTTCACACCCATATAGGTGCGTTGGTACCACTATACTTTTGTACATTCCCTTCTTTGCCTCCATGGATAACGTTTTTTGTCTCCACAGATACCTCAAAGCACCACTCGCCTTTTTTTCCTTCATCAATTCTATGGTTAACCTCATCCTTCATAAACCCATCCGCTGACAAGTCAACTCCCAAATATCTGAAAACATTCACTTCTTCCATACTACCTCTCCAATGTGATATCCAATTTTTCTTTATCTAAATCATTTGATACCCTCGTCACCTTACTCTTATCTATATTCACTTTCAACTTTCTAATTCATTATCATCATCTTCAATCATTATGTTTCATTACTGGTGAGTACCCATACATTTAACTTTTACTAAATTAAGTTATTACCGAATATTTACTGCATGTATACCAAAGAAAACGGGGTTACTTGAATGACAGTATACCAAATAAACCAGGCTTGCATGAATTACAGTACATATGGGTATTTTATATTCTAGCACTGCAGGAGACAGCACTACAGTACTGTATGCAGGTTTATCTTTACATTTTTTTTTTTTTTAAGGGTAATGTATGAAACTGAGTTTGAAATTAAGTGTTTTTTTTTTTTTAGCATATTTAGGGTTTAAACTATAAAAATAGGTATTTACAGGCATTTTTTAACCGTGTCAAGAATTCGTGGTTTCTCCAAATTTGCAGTCTTGGAATGTAACCCCTGCGAATTTGGAGGGATTACTGTAATTGCAGAAGTAAACCAACCCGCACTTGACAACTGTTTTCATATCTCGTTAAAAGATTGTTTATTTAGTTAATGTTCGTGTCTTCAATATTCAGTTGCGTTATAAATATGAATGAAATTTGCACACAATACTCAAATGTGCAATTTTTAATGCACCAGCAATCTCCCACAAAGATGAGCAAACTTGCCTTAGCATAGCATAGCATAGCACTAGAAATCTCCTTTATTCCTTCCCTTCAATCCTTCCTAGGATGACCCCTACCCCTTCTACTTTCTGCCTCAAATTGATATACCCTCTTAGTCATCCAATTCTGCTCCATCTTCTCTAAAAAAACAAACTGATTATCTCCATGTTCCAAACTTCCTGCACAAATTCACACCCCATATTGTTATCAAATATGACACCTGCACTGCCTCCAGCCTCCTCACTCTAGTGTTTAAGCTCATGAAATATATTTTTATTTCCTATTCTTATTATTATTACAACAGGCTGGCAGTCTCTAGCAGAGGCAGAGTGACCCAAAATAGAAAGAAACATTTTCACCATCATTCACACATAATCACTGTCTTTTCAGAAACACTCAGATACGACAATTCAAATGTCACTCCAAACAGCAAATGTCCCAAACCCCTCCTTTGAAGTGCAAGCATTATACTTCCCACCTCCAGGAATCAATTATTATAAACACGGGGGCAGTGCTAAACCTGTAGGATTATACAGCGCACGTACCAGGGGGGAAAGGGGGGGAATGGAAGGTATTTAGGCTCAATTCAGGGAACTGGAGCAGAGATCCAATTCCCTAGATCAAGAGCCCCTCACTAGCAACAAGGAACCTTCCTTAAGGGGCTCCAGGATTCAAGTCCAGTTGACTGGTTTCCCCGAATCCCTTCACAAGACATTACCCTGCTCACACTCCAACAGCTGATCGAGTCCCAAAAACCATTCATCTCCACTCCTACATAATATGCTCACACATGCCTACTGTATGTCAAGTCCCTCCCACACAAAACCTCTTTTATTATTATATGTCCAACACTCTTTGTATAATTATGGGGCTCTCATGTGGGAAATACCTCAAAATACTCAAGCAGTATTTCTCACACAAAAACCTCTCCTATGCTAACTTTTGCTCCCTTACCACCCCTCACCTTGCCACTCCACCAATCACTCCTCTTTCCACCTGCATCCACCCTCTTCTGCCTTGTGGTCCTGCTGGCCCACATACTCATCACAGCCTTTTTTTTTTTTCTACCTTAATCACTCTCTCTCACCAAAGCAGGGTGATGTGAGATAGCAGCTGAAGTAAAAAAAAAATAAAAATGCAAATTTGTCAACCAGGCTGTGATGAGTATATGGGCTAGTGGACTGCCAAAATCAATAGTCTAGTTGACCATGCAACAACCAGAGAAGCTTTGCTCAAGGTTGAGCTGTGGAGTAGGAAGACTAAATTAGTCACCAGTACATTTTTTTTTTTCAACAAACCAGCTGCATCCCACCAAGGTAGGGTGGCCCAAAAAGAAAAACAAAAGTTTTTCTTTTTAAATTTAGTAACTTGTACAGCAGAAGGGGTCACTAGCCCCGTGCTCCCAGTATTTTAGTCACCTCTTACAAAATGCATGGCTTACGGAGGAAGAATTCTGTTCCACTTTCCCATGGAGATAAGAGGAAATAAGCAAGAACAAGCACTAGAAAGAAAATAGAAGAAAACCCAAAGGGGTGTGTATATATATCCTTGTATAAATGTATGTGCAGTGTGACCTAAGTGTACGAAGTAGCAAGATGTACCTGAAATCTTGCATGTTTATGAGACAGAAAAAAGACACCAGCAATCCTACCATCAAATAAAACAATTACAGGTTTCCGTAAGTACAGATTTTTTTTTTTAACAAGTCAGCCGTCTCCCAGCAAAGCAGGGTGACCCAAAAAGAAAGAAAATCCCCAAAAAGAAAATACTTTCATCATCATTCAACGCTTTCACCTCGCTCACACATAATAACTGTTTTTGCAGATACGTATATGCTTATACAGTGGACCCCTGCTTAACGATCACCTCCCAATGCGACAAGTTATGTAAGTGTATTTATGTAAGTGTGTTTGTACGTGTATGTTTGGGGGTCTGAAATGGACTAATCTACTTCACAATATTCCTTATGGGAACAAATTCGGTCAGTACTGGCACCTGAACATACTTCTGGAATGAAAAATATCGTTATCCGGGGGTCCACTGTATATTATTTTATTGTTGCCACCCTGTCTTGGGAGACAGCTACATTATTAAACCATATTAATATGGACTCAGTAAACCTGTGAAAACTTTTCTGCAAATTTTATTGAAGTCTACTCAAAAAAAAAAAAAAAAAAAAAAAAAAAAAAAAAAAAAAAAAAAAAAAAAAAAAAAAAAAAAAAAAAAAAAAAAAAAGGCCAAGAGAGCAAAAGCATGGTATCTATATCAATTAGGGCTTTCGCTCCAATATGTTTAACGTCATATACCTGTGCTATTGCCTTCATAACATTTGGTGGAGGTGGTGCCTGCGTAGCTGGTTTGATCCCCGGCTGAGTATTGTGGATGGGGCTCTGAACAGGTGTAGGTACTGGAGTAGTTTGTTGAGGAATGGACGGATTGGCTGCCACACCAACCATCCGTGCGTTCATCTGCTGCATTCTTCTCTTCATTAATTGCTGTTGCTGGAACCTTTGCTGCATCTCTTGTTGCCGTAATTTTTGTTTAATATTAAAGCAGTAGGGAACAACACATCTCTGCTCTTTGCAATTTCTTGCATGATAGCAGCAGAGTGCAATGAGTTGTTTACATATTGCACATCCCCCATTATTCTTCTTTTTACATGACTTGGTATGAGATAGAACCCGCTTCATCTTCTGGCATGATGGAAGTCTGCAGTTTGCATCTCTACATTGTGAAGCATGCACCAAAGACTGGATACACCGTTGTATGGATTGTCTACGGGCCTCTTGTGGATTGAGGTTTTTGTTCTCAGTGGTAACTGATCCATCCTCTAGATCTAATCCAAGTTTTATCATATTATGAGAATGACCTTCAGCTTTGAAGCAGGAGGTACACAAATCAAAGTCATCACACTCTTGGCAGTGATAGCGTGTTTCCACATGGGCTTTACAATGATTACAGGTGTACACAAAACGATCTTGCCCTTGGTTATGTAGCTCATACATCATGATCATTGTGGAGTACTTGGCACGGCGTAACGATGAGAATTCTAAGTGTCTCTCACTAGCCAAGGTGAGGAAGGCATCCCTACCATCCATGAGATCACAAACCATGATGGGGTCAGGGTCTTGAATAGGAGGCAAACTAACAGCAGACTGTGCACTATGCAATCTTATTACAAAGAATACATCTTTATGTTTCTCCATTGTAGCAAATATTTTTTGAGCAAGGTCATTACAGCCTGCTGCATTACTCTTGCTTTTCGACTTGTTCTTCTGCTGACTTTTATTTTTATTCTTATTTTTGTGTTTCTTTTGCCCTTTCTTTTTACCATCTTGACTGGTTTCCTCCTCCTCTTCTTGCCCCATAGCTGCCTGTGCTGCAGCTTCAGCTGCTGCTGCCTCCTCCTGTTTTCGCTTTTCTTCTTCCTCTTGGTCTAGTTCTTTAATGCTTTCTTCCATCACATTGGGCCAGAAGTCACCTTCAAAATAGGGTAACTCTGCAGGTGATTTCATGTTGTCTTCAAAGGCTTGTTTATGGATATCCTTATAATCTAGAACTATTCTCTCTATTATACCCTTGTCAAGCATCTTCTTGTACCATTCTTGCAGGCGCTTTGGTTTAGGAATCTTCTGGTCACTAGGATGGCAGTGAAAAATATAGTCATCTCCCTCTGATGGTGGACACGCCCAAATGTGTGCCATTGTGTACCTGTAATGGAAACCCAAACTTTGAATGTAGAAAAACATTTGTAAATTTGGATACTTACAAATTAATGTCAAATACATACTCTTCACTCTTATAAATTCTATGGTGAATTTCTAAAGAAACTTAACAATGCTCATACATGACAAAACATGCAAATAGCCTAAACCCTTTTTGAAAATTCATTAAAAACTTCAATGCACAAAATACAGGCAAATTCTTTGGCAAGCATTTTGATACTTATATGCTGTCAATAACTGAGCAAACAAGCTACAAAGCTAATAATATGATATACTTACCCCAACTGTTTAACATAATCAAGATAACCTAGGAGAATTTCATGGTAGACTGCAGTTCTATATTGTCTTGGTTTGAAGAAATGTACACTATCTAGATAAGCTAAGTACACCCTGCGAGTATTTGGTACAGGACTGTCAGACCCATACTCCTGCACATGCATACCGAAGAAACATACATCATGTCCATCAATATCTTCATATGCAAATAGAGCTTTGGCACGATAGGGGAACTCAGGAGCAAGTTGCCCAGTGTCCACAAATCTGAAAAAATGATAAAATCCCACTATTATCTTGCATTTATATATGATTTAGTAGAAAGCTAAAAATAGCTTTTAGGGGCTTTAGATAGCTGTTAGACGTCTACTAGAGAGGCATAAAGGTGAATATGACAAGATGTAAGGAAAATAAGGATATATAACCTACTAAAGTCAATCAATATTACTTATTTCCATGTTTTGAGGAGTAATACACTCTGAAGTCATTTTTTTCTTTTTCACATCAGCCATTTCCCACAGAGGTAGGGTGACCTAAATAGAAAGAAAAACCCAAAAAGAAAAATACTTTCATCATCATTCAACACTTTCACCATTAATCATACATAATCACTGTCTTTGCAGAGGCGCTCAGATATGACAGTTTAGAAGTCCATCCAACCTGCCAATATCCCAAATCCCTCCTGTAAAGTGCAGGCATTGTACTACCCATTTCCAGGACTAAAGTCCGGCTAACCAGTTTCCCTGAATCCCTTCACAAAATATTACCCTGCTCACACTCCAACAGCTCATCAGGTCCCAAAAGCCATCATCACCATTCACTCCTATTTAACACGCTCATGCATGCTTGCTTGCTGGAAGTCCAAACCCCTCGCCCACAAAACCTCCTTTACCCCCCTCCCTTCAACCTTATTGAGGACAACCCCTACCCTGCCTTCCTTTCCCTACAGATTTATATACTCGTTAAGTCATTCTACTTTGTTTCATTCTTTCTAAATGACCAAACCACCTCAACAACCCCTCTTCAGCCCTCTGAATAATACTTTTAGTAGCTCTACATCTCTTCCTAATTTCCACACTCCGAATTCTCTGCATAATATTTACACCACACACTGCCCTTAGACACAACATCTCCACTACCTCCAGCTGCCTCCTTGCTGCAGCATTCACAACCCATGCTTCATACCCATATAAGATTGTTGGTACCACTGTACTCTTGTATATTCTCTTCTTTGCCTCCATGAATAACGTTTCTTGTCTCCACAGATACCTCAAAGCATCAGTCACCTTTTTTTCTTCATCAATTCTATGGTTAACCTCATCCCTCATAAACCCATCTGCAGACAAGTCTGCTCCCAAATATCTGAACACATTCACTTCTTCCATATTCCTTCTCTCCAATGTGATATCAATTTTTTCTTTACCTAACTCGTTCGATACCATCATCACCTTACTGTTATCTATGTTTACTTTCAACTTTCTTCCTTTACATACCCTTCCAAACTCATTCACTAACCTTTGCAACTTCTCTTTAGAATCCCCCAAAAGCACAATATCATCAGCAAAAGGTAACTGTGTCAACTCCCATTTTGTATTTGATTCCCCATAATTTAATCCCACCCCTTTCTCCAACACCCTAGAATGTTGTAAGTGTATGGAATAAATGGCAGTTTACTTAAAGCAATAGTGAGGCTTAGGTTAAGGTATGTAATAGAAAAGGGGATTAATTTCCTGTAAAAATAGGCCTTAGAGAGGAATGAATGATGTCATCCTGGTTATTTAATATATTTATAGATGGGGTTCTAAAATAAGTGAATGCAAGGGTGTTGGGGAGCAGTATGGGATTAAAAGATAATGAACATGATATAAAGCGAGAGCTATCACAGTTGCTTTTTGCCAGTAACATGCTCTTTTGTACGAGATTGAAGAGACATTGCGAAGGTTGATCAAAGAATTTTTAAGGGTATAAAAAAGAAGGAAACAGTGAACATGCAAAATAGCATGAAGAGAAAAATTCTAGGCAATGAAATGCTGGATACCTGATTGTGGGAGGGAGTATGGAAGAAGTAAATGTGTCGAGGTATTTGGAATTGGGCTTGTCAGTGACTGGGTCTATGAAAGGTAAAGTAGGCTATAGAACTGATGAAGGGAAAAAGGTGGGTGGTGCACTGAGGTACATGAGAGGACAAAAAAAAACATTGTTCACGGAGGCAAAAAGGAAAACGTCTCAAGAATATAGTGGTACGTACTAACATTATTATATGGGTGCAAAGCACGAGCCTGTGCAGGACAAAGGCTGGCAGCAGTGGAATTTTCATGTTTGAGGGCAATGTTTGGTGTAAATGTTATACAAAGTATTTGAAGCTTGAGATTAGAAAAAGGTGTGGAGTTTTCAAAAGTATCATTTAGAGGAGTGGGGAGGGGATGCTGAGGTGGTATGGACACTTAGGGAGGATAAAGTAAAACAAAATGATCAGGAGGGTGTATAAATCAGGGTTGGAGAAAAGGAAGAGTAAGGGATCATCCCAGGAGAGGATGGAGGAAGATATGTATAAGAGGTTTCAAGTGCTAGGGGATTGGACATTCAACAGACTTTTTTGAGTGCATTAGACAGGAATGGAGTCAAGTGGTATTTATTGACTCACATGCTGTTGGAGTGTGAGCAAGACAATATTTATTAAGGGATTCAGGAAAGCTGGTTGGAAAAACTTGAGTCCTGGAAGTGTGAGCACAGTGCCTGTACACTGAAGGAGGGGCGGAGATGTTGCAGTTCAGAGGGCCACTGAACTGTGATGTCTATGCACTTCTGACAAGACAGCTTTTCAATTAGTGTGAATATATTTTCCTTTGAGTTTGGGAGTGTGTGTAAATGTAGAAAGTTGAAAGTGAACATAGAAAAGAGTAAGGTGATGAGGGTATCAAATGATTTAGATAAAGAAAAATTAGATATCAAATTGGGGAGGAGGAGTATGGAAGAAGTGAATGTTTTCAGATACTTGAGAGTTGACGTGTCGGCGGATGGATTTATGAAGGATGAGGTTAATCATAGAATTGATGAGGGAAAAAAGGTGAGTGGTGTGTTGAGGTATATGTGGAGACAAAAAACATTATCTATGGAGGCAAAGAAGGGAATGTATGAAAGTATAGTAGTACCAACACTCTTATATGGGTGTGAAGCTTGGGTTGTGAATGCAGCAGCGAGGAGGCAGTGGAGATGTCCTGTCTAATGGCAATGTGTGGTGTAAATATTATGCAGAAAATTTGGTGTGTGGAAATTAGAAGGTGTGGAGTTAATAAAAGTATGTCAGAGGGCTGAAGAAGGGTTGTTGAGGTGGTTTGGTCATTTAGAGAGAATGGATCAAAGTTGAATGACATGGACAGAGTATAAATCTGTAGGGGAAGGAAGGCGGGGTAAGGGTCGTCCTCGAAAAGGTTGGAAGGAAGGGGTAAGGGAGGTTTTGAGGGCGAGGGGCTTGGACTTCCAGCAGGCGTGCATGAGCATGTTCGATAGGAGTGAATGGAGACGAATGGTATTTGGGACCTGACGATGTGATGGAGTGTGAGCAGGGTAATATTTAGTGAAGGGATTCAGGGAAACCGGTTATTTTTATATAGCCGGACTTGAGTCCTGGAAATGGGAAGTACAATGCCTGCACTCTAAAGGAGGGGTTCGGGATATTAGCAGTTTGGAGGGATATGTTGTGTATCTTTATACGTATATGCTTCTAAACTGTTATGTTCTGAGCACCTATGCAAAAACTGTGATTATGTGTGAGTGAGGTGAAAGTGTTGAATAATGATGAAAGTATTTTCTTTTTGGGGATTTTCTTTCTTTTTGGGTCACCATGCCTCGGTGGGAGATGGCCGACTTGTTAAAAAAAATTTTTTTTTTTCCTTTCCACTTCACACATGCATCCCAAGCAGCTTTTGGAGTGAAAGCACTGCAACTCCCACTTTCAGAACCTTCATTCCTTAAATTCCTGAACGTATGCTAATGTGCTGACACTCAACAATGTATCGAAGTCCAAAAAAAAAGAACATTCATATCCATTCAGATCTAACACAGTCAACTTGCCAACTTGATGCTCAAGCTCCTATAATTCAAAACATTCACTCAGCTCAGATTCACATACCTCCACAGTAAACATACCTAGAACAAGCTTTTATAGATGACTAAACCATCTCAACAATCCTTCCCCTGCTTTTCTAACTGTATATTTTATACCACCACACCTAATTTATAAGTGACTTATTTTCCTTATAATATTCATACCACTCTTTGATGTCAGACATATCCAATGCCTTTAACTTCCTTGCTATAATGAAAAATGAATTATGGGAAAGTTAGCTAGCCCCTGCAGCAAAGCTGAGGGTTATACAGGCAACATTAAATAGAGAAAATAAAACTATATTCTATATAGATTCAGTACCAGTAAATTATCAAAAATTTAATAATGGTACAAAAAAATCAATAAAAATCTTGACTTGATTCTGCACAAAATACATAAATATGGTAAAATCCTCGACTCCAGCAGCGTTTCTCCTACCTTGTTTTCATGCCTCCTTTGACTTCAACTATTTTATCTGTAGAAGACACAACCCTAATATAAACTTCACCAGCACCAGCCTCCTTTTTCTTTAGGAAGTTGTTGACCCGAGTTTCCAAGAAATTGCTCAGTTTTGTAGTAGGCAGTTTCTTAGAAGTAAACTTATTTTCTTTACGTAGTGCGTTTTTTTTCTTGAGACAACCATCACAGACAAAGCCTTGTGGCCAGATAGCCTCCATGTACTGTACACAAATCTGGTGCTGCTTTCGGCCACATTCAAGGCACTCTACCAGAGGTTCCAAGTCCAGGGCATCATTTTTCATCTCCGTGAACTGGGACTTCTTAATCATCCTATAAATTGAAAAAAACATTAAATTAATACACAAAGTAATAATATGGAACAAAGGAAAATACAAAATTGAAATGAAATTACACTCAAATTTGGCAATTCTGGACTTTTATTTTTGGATACAGCGGAACCTCAGTTGTCGAACTTAATTCGTTCCAAACGTCAGTTTGATAACCAAAGCAATTTTTCCCATAAAGAATAATGTTAATAGAATTAATCAGTTCCAGACCCCAAGTTACAATATAATGATTTATCAATAATAATGAACTATTATATAAAACAAAGTATAAAATTATAAAGCACAGGAAAACTGTAAAAATTAATACTAAATGAAAATTTAACCGAAATACTGTACAGTAAATGAAAATTTAACTGCCTCTTACCTGTCAGAGAGCTAATGGAAAAAATTCTAGCAGGTTCAAATCTTGCGGGAGAAAGCTGGTAAGCCTACAACTGAGAGAATGGGTCTGCATGATCAGTGCGCACAGTATGAAAAAAATCCTGCAGCACGCAGTGCATGAGAAAAAAAAAACGCGATGTGTTTTTGGTTTAAAACAGAAACTCTGTGGTGTATTTTCATATGATATTTAGGGTTGTATTTTCATTTTTCTGGTCTCATTAAATAGAATGGAAAATATATTACAAAAATAGACATTACTTTGAATGGTTTATAGACTAAAAGTATCTTGAAATTGAGCTCAAAATAGCAGAAGCAGAAATAATAGATTTTTGCCGATGTTCAAGAGTACATAAATCACGTCACGCGTCCAATACACGTCAACTGGTGGGTCTAATATGCATTCACAAATGCGCTGCTATTATTTATACAATTACATACTACAATTATGCAGTAGTCTGAATAACAGTAAATCTCCTATTTTTTGTGTGAATAAAAATTCAAAAGGAAAAGCAAGTGAAATATAAAAGGGGCCTGGTGACGTGACTAACAAACAGAGAAAATGTTATTTTAGTGCCAGGAATGTCTGCATTATTTATTCTGGACCCTATCTTGAAACTAGCCTTTCTTAAATTTTGTGTGAAATTGGCCAAATAAGTAATTTCAGATCATAAATAACAAAAAGGCACAATATCGTGACTGGAACAATACACAAATAGCCCGCACATAGGAAATGTCGCCATAAGCTCCTCTCTCCTATGTGCGGGTTATTTGTGTGTCTTGTGTAATTTCAGATCACTTTACTGGGTGGTTGAAATAGGTAAATGGGTGGATTTCATATACTCAGTCAATAGAATGAAGAGAGTTCTAGTGAAACAGCTATGAGTTTGGTAGACTGAAAAAATGGAATTGGCCCAAAATATGGCTCAAGGTGGGTGAAATCACTGATGCGTAAATATCGCCAAGACCACTAACTTTGTGATAGCTTAATTCTGAAAGTTTCCATCTAGTTTCGTACTTTTAGTTTCATTAACTCTGAAAAAATATTCTCCATCATTTCATAAGAAATTTTTTTTTTTTTAAATTCTCTACTTTGGGAGCATTGTCAGCTGACAACCAAGAGCACGTACGAAAACCAGGACATTTTTTCTCAAATTTCTTGCTCAAAAACCGATTTGTTTGAGAAGTAGTGTGTTCAACAACTGAGGTCCCACTGTACTATGTCTTAAAAGGTAGATTCAGCTTTAATCATTTTTGAAAGCAACATCCAATACATACATTTAATCTTTCAAATTTCAAGGTAACCTGTTCTTTAAGACTCAATCCTGAGGTGATCCTCACAACTACTAAACAATTTATTCTACTTAAACTTACATAGCTGACTGAAAAAAAAAATACTGAAAATTGGTGGTGTACTGTAGATTTGGTAAGGATGCTTATGTGGAAAGTGGTATTCACCAAGGCAGAGCAACCCAAAAAAGAAGAAACACTTCCATAATTTCTCACTCCATAACTGTCTTGCAGAGACGTGCCATTCCCGGCCAGGAATGGAAAATATGGAAAGACTTTTAAATACCTAGATGGAGGATATGCATTGGCATAAATCTCCATGTTCGTTTTCCTCGATTTCCTCCCTTATGGCTGTTTGTACAGTGGACCCCCGACATTCGATGGCATCGACATTCGATAAATCTGACATTCGATGCATTTTAACGCAAAAATTTCGCCTCGACATTCGATACGATTCATACGAGACATGTCCACGTGTGGCCTGAACTGCCCCATGTGTGCCAGTGTTTACAAGCCAGCCAGTGTGCACGCATCTAAGGATACATTCGGTACATTCCATATTATCCATATTATCACTGTTTTTGGTGATTGTTTCTGCAAAATAAGTAACCATGGGCCCCAAAAAGTTTAGTGCCAACCCTTTTGAAAAAAAGGTGAAAGATATTGAAATGAAGAAAGAGTAATTGCAAAGTAAAAAGTGTAGTGCGTGTGTCGGGTCAGATGATTTGGTAAAGAAATTGCCTGCAATAGTGGGGGAAGGATTTAAGGCCAGAAAAAGGTTTTTTTAAAAAGATTTAAAAATCGTTGTGGATAACAGTGGGTAAGGCATGGTGAGGCTCCCAGTTAAAGTCCTAAGGGAAAGGGAGTTTTCCCCCCTTCAAAAACAAAAAACCCACCCACATCCCCCCCTCCCCCACCCCATCAATCACCCCAATTTCTTTAAAGGAAGTGTATTTATCATTGTTATTAATCTTTGTTTTGTAATTTTTTATTGCATTAAACTTAATTTTCATGTGGAAAAATTTTTTTTTTTTTCATATTTTTGGGTGTTTGCAGAAAAAATGTTTCCCCTTTTTCTTATGGGGAAAATTAATTCGATTTTCGTTTTTTTCGACTTTCGATAGCTCTCGGGAAGGATTTGTATCGAATGTCGGGGGGTTTCACTGTATTGATTTTTATGACAGAAGTGTACTTTTTTAAAAAATTCAAAAAAAAACATGTGATACCTAAAATAATAAAATGTCAATAATAGAGTAAATATACGTTTTTAATAACCCAAAGCAACATACCCAAAGTTATGGCATCGCAGTACTATGCCTTCCTTCGCTCCCCTTGTCAGGAATTTAAAATCTTGTTTTATAAATTTAGCCTACATAAAACGGGTTTCATTCAGTCGTTTCGCTTAAAGTCACAGTTTCCAGGAACCTACTGATGATGTTGTGGGGACTTCCTGTTTTTGGTCCACTCCAAAAACCCACATCAAGTCAAAAAAACCTTTTTGCCTCCATTGCCCCTTTTCTAACACACACCAAGCTTGCGGGAATCAAAAACAGCTTGACACTGAAATTCCTTAGGGGCCTCCCCCCAAACCCTTTTCCTAGGATCCCCTTATTCCCCTTTCCACTACGTTTATACACCCTCCAAAGCCTTTTATTTTTTTCCACCCTCTCTATGTCCAAACCACCTCAAAAACCCCCTTTTAGCTCTCGGAATACTTCAGTAACCCCCAAAAACCCCATTTCCCAAACTACAGATTCTTGTATAATTTTCACACAACATGTTGTAAGTATTGGGAAGAGGAGGGGAAAATCTAGGAGGTTTTAAAAGTTGATGAAAGGGGCAAGCCGTAATTTCATGCTTGGCCAGGGAGGTTTAAAAATCTTTTAGGTGTCAGAAAAGCCATGCAAGGTTTTTGTGTTGTGGTGTGTTGGGGGGGGGGGGGGTGCCTGAGGGAATTTGGTAAATGGGGAAGTAAAACAGCTGAAATGATGGGATCATGATAAAAGTTAAAAACGGGGCAACATAATTTTGGAGTGTTTTGTATTTTGTTCAAAAAACATGAGAGAAAAGAAAGGATTACAGATTCCCGTGTGGGTGTTTAATTCCCTTTTTATAAAGGGAAAGGGAAAAAGAGAGATTGTAAAAATTATAGGGAAATAAAATTACTGATTAACCAGGGAAAGGCATGGTAGGGTTATTTCGAAAGAATTAAGGTAAACAGAAAACAGATTGCAGATGAACAAGGGGCTTTAGAATGGGTAAGGGATGTGTAGATCTTGTTTTCCCTTGATTTGGGAAAAGTCTCCTGAGGGAACAGTTACCTAGTTGGGTTATTTAGGCTAGGACTTTGGTATTTCAAAATTTTGGTTGGAAGTACATGAGTGGGAGGGGTTGGATTTTAGAGGGACTTGCAATCGGGGGCTTGTTTTTTGGGTGGCATTGAAAAATTTGGGTGGTCAAATTTTGTTAGTGGATGAAAGTAAAGGACATGCCTTTTATGGCCAACAGGCCTGGCAGTGTTTTCCTCCTTTCTTGTGTTCTTTTGTTCTTTGAAGAATTTTTTGAAAAATATTTGAAAAGATAGGTAATTTTCATTGCATTTATGGGTTTGAAAAAGGATATGACTGGGTGGAAAAGGGGGGCAATGTAAGATGTTGCAAAAGGGATGAATAAAAGTAAGTTACTAAATGCTGTAATGAGTTTTTTTTGAGGATATGAGACTCAAATTAGGGTGTGTGGGGGGGAGGGAGAAAAATTTTCCAGTAAAAGTAGGTACAGTGGAACTTCTACTTGCGGTTTTAATCTGTTCCATGCCGTCTTTAATGGGTTTTTTGTTTGCAGAGTCAATTTCCTCTTTAAATTAACTGAAATCAATTAATCCGTTCCAGTGGAAATTTTGTACTTCAATAATTTTATAATATCAACTCACGGCTTATTTATTACTCACGTACTAAAAATATAAAAAATAATATAAAAAAATAAAACATGATTATACTCTGAATGAATAAAATATGTCATTCATGTAGTGGTAGGGGTAGGTCGGCGGTGGACGAGTTTGTTGGAACTGGGCAAATTACTTCAAGAATAATTTCGTAATATCATTATCGGCTTTTTTATAAATCACAGTCATTTAATATACATAACAACAATTGAAAAACATAGAAACAAGTATATACTCCAGAATGAATAAAATATGTCATTAAAGTAGTGGTAGGGGAGTTTTTCGGTGGACAATTTGTTTGGAAACCGGGCAAAATACCTCATGAGTAATTTCACAAATATCCTATACGGCTTATTTAACTACAGTTCATCTAA